GAACTCAGAATTAGGAAAAGAACGTCATGAGGAAGAGTTGGCTTGGGCAAGTTGAGTTGAACTGTATTTGTAACATGGGCATGGAGGATGTCATTTCCAAATGGATGGCATAGCATGAACAAGAGCCAAGAGGAAAGAACACATATATTGTGGAGATGGGCCTGTTAGAGGCAGAAAGGCCATGAGAAGGGATGAATGGCTAGATGAGGAAAAGCATTGGATAGTTGGCCAAGTTTTCTGGCTTGTCAGCTGGGCAGTGACCAGCATAAAATTTAAGGGACTGGATTTTGTTGAGGTCTTTTAGGAGGAAACTGCTTCTATGAGTAGCAAATGATTCCCCTACATCTTGGAAAAGATTAGATCAGTCTTGAACTAGTATTGGCTTCACAGCAACACTTCTCTTTTGATTAAACTAACTTCATTTATTAAGTGAGTTTCTACTGGCTAAATACTGTACATGCATTATCACACCTGATGCCTATAACAACTCTGGGAAATAGATAGTCTCATCTATAAAAGATGATAAAACTGTGGCTTAGAAAAATCAAATAACTTGCCCATGCTCATCCAATTTGGGCTTAACCCCAGATCTGTGACTTTACCATCCATTCTCTCCTTCTTCTGCATTTTTGATTAGCTCTACCATAGAGCAGTGGCTTCAAAAGACAGTCATCATAGCACATGTTCATATGGCTTTTTTTCCCACAAAAGGCATATTGACTTAAAATTCAGTGTAAAGTGACTATATATTTGGGTCCATATTCAGGACACACACCCAGTTTGGTTTAATTGGGCAAAGATCTTGGTGGCTTTTCTGAACCCTTCTCCATCTGCTAAGACTAAGTGATCATAGAAGAGGTACAGACAATAAAATGAAAAGAATGTGAAAGGCAGTGTAGTAACCACCACACTCTACATAATATTTTCATGTTCCTAATAAGCGATCACCCAACCTAAGCCTGAACACTCTCCAGTATGTAGCTCACTCCTCTCGGGGGGGTGTTAATAGAAGTTTTAGAAGGTTTTCATCAATACAGCCAAACTCTGTCTTTCTGCAATTCCCTCCACCCCTGGATCCTAGATCTGGCAAAACACAATGTCAATCTATGATGTCTTCTATATGGAAACCCTTAAAAACACTGCCACTCAGCTCTCTCCCTCACTAAATATTACATATAACATGGTTTCTAAAGCACTTACCTTCTTGTTTGTCTACTATGTTTACCGTCAAATTTCTCAGTGTCTTCATTGTTAATAGATATGCTCTGAGCGATAGAGTGATGACTATTTCTAAATTAAACCTTATATTTCTACTAATGCAAACTGTTACAGCTTATGTACAGTGGGGCCTTGACTTACGAGTTTAATTCGTTCTGAGACCGAGCTTGTTAAGGAGCTCATTAACTCAAATTACTCTATCAACTCAATGCAAAAAATCAGCGGAGAGACAGCTGGTATCTCAAAAAACTCGTTAGTCGGGACACTCGTAAGTCAAGGCCTCACTGTATTACCTTTTTAGCAAGCAGAGGATGTGCTGGTTCCTATGAATTTTGCATATCACCAAAAGTTGGTAAAGCTAGAACTTTTAACAAACATCTCTCACATTGAACATAATAAACCCAATTGCATAACTTGACATTTATCTATTTTGAAATGGTATCTTTTTGTTTGGCTCACTCTTCTAGCCTAGAGAAATCCATTTGAATCCTGATTCTGTGCTTTAACCAATAAGCCATCTACAGGGAATAAGCAGGTGACATAAGACACACACACAGCCCGCGCGCGCGCACACACACACACACACACACACACGTGTCTTTTTAGGGGAAGGGCCCCAGAAGACGAATTGATAATGTCAGAAAAGTTTGGAGGCCGCCCATCTGAATGCCTTAGAGGACACGGCATGGTCTTCTGAGGTGGACTTGGAAGTGTCTTTTCCTCCTGGAGAGATGTCTTAGAAGAGCTAGGCTTTTGCAGGAAGCTCTCCCAGGGTAGGGCTGGAAAGGAAATGCAGAGACCTCCCAACAAAGACAATGCTTAGGAGGGAGCATTTGTGAAGGAAGCAAAACTCCTCCCGGTGAAAGTAATTCCCAGGTGTGTCTCTCATCCTAGCTTCAGACCTCCACCCTTGATTACTCACACTTGGTATTAGCCTTACATGACCAGCCCTAATGAGGCAGTTCCATCTGGAACCACTTTCCTGACCTCATACAGGCATATCTCATTTTGTTGCATTTCACTGTATTGTGCTTCACAGATGTTGCAATTTTACAAATGGAGTGCAAGACCCTCCACCAGCAAAAAATTATGACCCGCTTTATTGCGATACTCGTATTATTGCGGTGGTCTGGAAATGAGCCCACAATATCCCCAGGGTATGCCTGTAACTGAATTTTCTCTGCCATCTCAGACAAGATATCCACTATCTCTGAATCCAGGTTGTTATTTAAAATGTCCAATGAGACAGAAAGGAGGCATGAAGGCATGCCACCAGAGACTTCCTCTTGGGTCAGTGTTGATCTCATAGGACATACTATGATAAGCAGAAAGAGTGATTTATTTTGTTTTTCTGTATACACAACTCTTTAAAGAGGGCAGCCTGGTTTGGTGCAGATGGGGGAGTAGGGAGAAATTGATATGTTTATTAGAACTTCTTTGTAAACTGAAATTGGCCATGATTCTCAATTGGGAGGGCAATATATCAGAATCTACATGGATCTGAGGGAAATCTGAAAATTAAAATGACACATCTCCTCCAGCCCTCTTATGGGTGAGCATCTGCAACCCAGTGCACTTTCATTGAGGTAAATGTGACATCATTTTTCAGTTCTATTTGTTCAGACAACTAGGAGAAACAACCCACTGGACTAGAGAGATAAGCCCATAAGCCCCTTGCTCCATTGCTATAGTCTACCAGCGGAGCTTGGCTTAGAGAATGGATTCCATGCCTACAGACATGATCATGCTGGATTCCTGTTATAATTTTCAAGCATTGAGTGTTCATGTTCATTGAGGCACAGACTGGGAATGTAAGTTAATATTCAGCCCTAGCTGGTTTGGCTCAGTGGATAGAGCATCAGCCTGTAAACTCAAGGGTCCCGGGTTCAATTCTGGTCAAGGAATTGGTTGCAGGCTTCTCCCTGGCCCAGGGCTCTGGTCAGGGCGTGTGCAGGAGGCAACCAATCAATGTGTTCCCTCACATCAATGTTTCTGTCTTCCCTCTCTCTTCCACTCTCTTTAAAATTCAATGGAAAAATATCCTCGGGTAAGGATTAAAATAATATATATATGTATAATTTTTTTTTCAACACAACAGACCTACCCCAGACGCCAGCCTTGTTAGTGTCACCCTCCCTTTTCAACAAAATCATGAAACCCTTCTGTTTGCACCTCTCCTTGCTGACATCTGTGATGATTTCAGGGAACTAAGGTCTAGACATGGAACCACTCTTTTGGCCATTTTTTTGTTTAATTTTATGGCTGCCTTCCTAAGACCATATTGCCATACATGATCACTTTAGGCAGGGGTAGGGAGGAGAGTAAATAAAAGCAATTGCCTGCGTGCGTGCGTGTGTGTGTGTGTGTGTGTGTGAGAGAGAGAGAGAGAGAGAGAGAGAGAGATTTAACCTAAAAAGTACCTCAGAGCAACTGTAGACCCCTGGGCTTTGAATACTCTAACCCCTGGTGTAGAACCAGTTCTAGATTTCACATCACTGATAAATATGTTACACAGAGAATAAGCAAATGGAATGATGATAATTATTTAGTGCAAAGGTACATATTAGTAGAAAGAAATCAACATTGTTTCTATATTAATATGAACATTTTCTATATAAGTATTGAAACCATCTCAGATAATCTTTCATCTTCAGCAATTTGTACTACATGTTCTTAGTTTTAAAAATATTATTGAATCCTCCATATAACTGGTTGTTGAAAGCAAACTAAAGAGCTATAACCAAATGACTCCAAATGCAATTCTGTTATATTGGGTTAATTTTTGAATATTTGAGATTTCAAACATACAGAAAAATAATATAACCGATGTTTATGTATATTTGGATCAAGTCCCATTAATGTAACATAGCCTGCACCATTAAGTCAGTAAATTTTGTCAAACTCATTTCCAGGATCAATTCTATTTTTGTTACAATAATTAGGATGCTTCCAAACCGAAGGGGAGAGATGGATGGCGATTACAGTTGTGATTTATTTTCACTTCAAGTTTTGATACCACTGTCAGGCAGATGCACAAACCACAGGGCCACACCACTATTTAGAGTCCAAACAACAGGCACTAAATCTAAAAACAGCCGGCCAACCATTCCTGAACTCCACAACAGGCTGCCATGCTCTCTGGCGCCCAGGGACCTGGGTGACTACCTAAACTTTCATTTCATTGGGCCAATCAAGACTGTATGCCAAATATTCTAGACAAAACAAAAATTATATAGCCCTAAACTCCCTGACCCCAACAACTAGAAAAAAACAATACATCTCTTTTGACTGCTTTGAATAAACTAGGATGCAGATATGAAATCTGTAGACAAAGCATTCTTGCTCTCATTTAAAAATGACAAATGTGTACACTGCTTTTAGTGGGTCCCGTAATTCTCAGCATGCAATTCTTCAAAGTAGGTGAAACCAGGTTTCTTCTTCATTTTTTTAAATTAAGAAAACAATCCCTCTTGAGGAACCATCAAATAATGTACCAAGGAAGCAAATCTCTTCAAATAAAGTGACCTTATCCCGTCCTCACGGAGTCTGTGGCCACACGGGGCAATTTGCAGAAGAGAAACTCGGGGAAAGGCAGCTCATGCCACGAGGACTTTGCTTTTCAGTCCTCACGCGCATTACATGGAGTGTTACATATTAAACAGAGAAACGGTGCCCACGCCACAGCTGCTTCTTGTTAACCAGCACTAAGAAATAGTGAGAGCGCCCAGAATCACCATTTAAAAAAAATACTAAATTAAAAATAAAATAAAGCCAAATCTTACCAGAAAGGAGCAAGCTGACTCCATAGAGCACTAAGCCAGCTAAAGAGTCCATGCTTCCCCCAGTCTCTCCATCCAGGTCCCGCAGATGTGCATGAGGTTCCCGGGGATCCTTTCAAGCACCCAGAGGTTTGTGACTTTCCATTCTCACGTTCTACTAGTTCTTGTTTACAAGTCGGAGGCAAGAAGGAACAGTAGAGAAGCAGGCTGTAACAGCCTCATTTCTGTCTCTGAGCACAGGGAGTTTTAAGTTCCTTTTTCCTGTTTCCTTTGTAGATTAGGATGGGAAAGGCTGTATCTTAAAGGCATTTGGTATCAGCAGGGCTGGGGGCACGGCAAACCCTCTCCATCTTGCAATTCATCAAAACACTTATCTGTGGCTGCTGCTTCTGCTGCTGCCAGAGGGGTAGAGGAATTTTTGTTGGAAGTGTGGGTCCTGGTCAGCATTTTCAGGAACAATAGGGGTATCCTCTCATAGGCGGGAAACAGAACAACAAGCCCTCCACCTACTTGTGGTATGCGATGAAGACCAGCCCTCCTCGGCCTTCCAACGGCTCTCCCGCTCTCCCGGGTCCCCTCGGGATCCCTGGCAGAAGGGGCTTCTGGGTGTGGGGGGGCGGTTTGTGCTTTTGTTTTCTCGTTGTAGCCCACGTGCTTTGAGTTGGGAAAAGAAGGTTTCGTGATGAGAGAACACAACCCGAAAGGCATCTAATCTGGCTAATTACCTACCGGTGAGGTCAATGTCACCGTGTGGCCACAGAGATGAGAGTCCAAAATTGTTAGCCTGTGTTCTTTCACACAGATGATTTACTTGTTGGGCAAGAGCCCAAAGATATCCCTGCGACTAGCTGTGGCTTTCGTTTTTATTACTAATTCAGCTGAAGGTGATCTAATTTCTTGAAGAACTTGGCATAGAACAGTGGTTTTCAACCTTCCTAATGCCACGACCCTTTAATACAGTTCCTCATGTTGTGGTGACCCCCAACCATAAAATTATTTTCGTTGTTACTTCATAACTGTAATTTTGCTATTGTTATGAATCATAATGTAAATATCTGATATGCAGGATATATTTTCATTGTTACAAATTGAACATAATTAAAGCACAGTGATTAATCACAAAACAATATGTAATTATATATGTGTTTTCCGATGGTCTTAGGCGACCCCTGTGAAAGGGTCGTTCGACCTCCAAAGGGGTCGTGACCCACAGGTTGAGAACCACTGGCATAGAAGAATTTTAGTAATGGGAGGGGATTTTGTGGCTATTGACCAATGGCGTGTCAGGAGGAAATTATGCCCAACATTTTTTAAATTGTGTAAAAACCAAACCTAAGCGATCAGATCAGGATATAAATATTATTCATCAGAGCAGAGAGAGCACATAGGCCAAAAGGAAAAGAGCTATTGGAGTAGCCATTTCTCAAATGAGATCAGAGACCCTTGATTGATCCAGATGATAACGTCTCCAAAACCTGAACTGTGACTTTAGAGTTGATCCGCTGGCCTTCACCCTGCCCTCTTTTCCTACTGAGCACGGGAAAGGCAGATGCTGCTAGCCTGGCCTAATCTCTGTCCCAGGTTTTATCACATCAGCAATGATCCTGAGAACCCACGGATGCTTCCCATCTGCTGGGGTAGAAGGTTCAGGCTCAGTTTGCCAGCAGCGCTGGGATCAATTCTGGGCTCAGCCACACGTGGGGCCTGAGACAAGATACTTAAGCCCTTTGAGTCTCAGTGAGCAGGTGTAAAATGGCAATAATATCTTATTCGTGGGGGTTTCGAGAGGGTTAAATGAAAATTAAAAATGCATAAAGACATCTGGCACTGTGCCTAATTCACAGAATTCATTTTCTTTATTCTTTCCAGTCTGTTTCTGATTTCAGTCCCAGGAGCTGCTGCCAGAAAGCCATTCTCTGATCCCATGAAAGGCTTTAAGTTTGGCGGAGTAAACAACCAGTGTGGGAGTCGGAGGTCCTGGGTTCCAGGCCCGGCTCTGCCACGATCTGCCTGCCTGTGGACAGGTCATTTCCCATCTCTAGGCCTCAGTTGCTCAACTGTAAAATGAAGGATTTAGACTGGAAGTGACCAATTTCCCTTCTGATTGTAACAGCGCACAGTCTAAATGACTAGATTGTCCCGCTCTCAGCATCCGCACACTGGTTCCTAGGTCCTTCCATTTGGGCAGTTCAGAGAGGATGCTAGCTTTGCATCTCTGTTCCTGTGGGAACCTGGGAGGGTTACGTGTGCTTTATTTTAAGAACATGGTGGCTGAGACTCAGTGAGGTCCACTGGCCCCAGGCCACAGGGGTCAGCAATGATAGGCCTTGGCAATGATCAAACCCCAGGATACCTGTCTCCCCAGGCACAGCTCCCTCTGTTAGTGCTTGATGTCCACACATGGAAGTCATCATTGCTCACACTCCCTCCTGCTGGCTGGTTCTGTGGGCTGAAGATGCTACTACCTTGCTTCCTGTTCTGGGATGCCTCCCCCTATTAGCCAGAAAAGCAGCCCGGTTTCATTATTCCTCCAACACGCAGAAAGATCTCCCCTGACCCAAAATTGTTAGTCAAGTTCTTTCTCTCTCTGTTACCCAGAGTAAGTGACTCTGTTTCATTCTTCTCTCTGTAATTCAGCAATGTTGCTCGGTTTATGTCTCCATTCTTCAAAAGAGCTATGTCGTTTAACCTCATCTTCCATGTAATCCTTTCCACTATTACCCAGAATAGTGCTTCCATTTAGTAAATACTGCTGGATTTCCTGAGCCTAGGATTATACAGCTAGTCTAAAGACTGAGCGCCTTTTCTCTGGGACATCTGCATCTTTGGCACATCATTTCCAGGAATAAAGTGAAGATGACTTGTGGACACAAGTGACCAGACTTGCGCTGCCCTGCTTTCTGCCCTGTGGATGTCAGAGCGTAGAGAACCAGTCACAAAGCAATAGCATGAGCTTCATGCACTGTGGGACCAACAGGGCCGCAGAGCCTACTGGCAACAGGTTGGGAAGTTGCAACACTGGATGGCATGCCAGGATTTCCAAGGGAAGGGAGAGGCTGTAGCCACATCTGTGAGGACTTCTCCCTAATAACGCATAACATGTTAAGGAAATACCACATACTTGGACATGACCACAACCCTTCTCTAGAAAGCGGGCTGTGGCCATCATCGGGCATCTGCACTTCCTAAAGAGCCTTGCTGGGGTCCAGGGGGATCAGCTCTCTACCCTCCGCTGCTCTATCCACCTCGAAAAGATGAAACGGTCTTCCCCTCCTTGTCTGATTAACTCCCAGTTATCTCCTAGTTCTCAGCCTAAGAAACGTCTTCTGTGATTCAAATGAGTTCTCCCTCGTTTTTCTCCCACAACACCCTGCTCTTTTGTTTCATTGTACTAATCACAAGTGGTAATCATATATCGGTAACTTCACCACTTTATGTCTCTTTCCCTCCACTTGACTGCAGTCTTCAAGAGGCAGGGACCATATCTAATTATATTCACTGCTGAATTCCCAGACCTGAGCGCAGTGTCTGGAACATATTTTATGTCTCTTTCCCTCCACTTGACTGCAGTCTTCAGGAGGCAGGGACCATATCTAATTTAGTCACCGCTGAATTCCCAGACCTGAGCGCAGTGTCTGGAACATAGATCTTAAATAAATGCTTAATAAATTACTAAATACAAATACTCCCACTCTTACTCATATACTCATATCAAGAATAGGCTTTGGAGTCAAGCAAACCCAGAGTACATGTTATAGCTGTAATTTACTCCCTGTATGACCTCGGCAATTTAATGCACATTAGGAACCTCAAATTCCTCATCTTTAAAATGCAGACAAATAATACTTAATTAGTGAGGTAATATATACACAGTATCTGGCAGAAGTAAATATGGAGTAAAAGCTCTCTGGCGTTCCTCCCCATTCACAACTCCATCTCCCCTCTGCAAGGAGGAAAGGAGGCCCCACACAGCTAAAGATTCACCAGCTGTGCCTTGCAGAGGCAGTGTCAGTACCCTGGTCTCTTTGCCTCCAATTTTTACAAGTTTAATATATGGCTCTTTTTTTTTTTCATAGTTCACCTTTGAACCACGTTGTGCAGAAAAGTAAACAAAGAGAAATACAGGAAACATCATAAAAACCAACAGGGTGTACCCAGACCCTAGGAAAGTATTTGAAGTGAAACTTTGACAGGTAATGGAAAAGTCTGATGACACTGAGAAATGCCACCAGTTCTCATTGTGCTTCCAAAATAGTAAAAGCTACTCTCCGGCTCTCTGGTGTCCCCACAGCCTTGCCCCCAGGGAAGTAAAAGGGCTTCCGCATGAGTCAAGCTTACTCAGTTTAATTTGATGAAGCTGGACACACTGAGACCAGAACAACAACAAAAACAACAGCAAGCAAACAAAACAAGGCATTTGCCTGACATCTCATTTTTTTCTCTGCTTTCTTGCACTTTGTATATGAAAACAATCTATAGAAAACAAACATTTTGGAGACGGATTGATAAAATTTTCAATGGATATGAAAATAATGTGTGTGAAGAGATGTGGAAAATAACTTGCACAATCTATATATCTATATCTATGTCTATGTCTATGTCTATATTGATATCGATATAGATATATATAAAAGGCTAATATGCTAAGTGTCCAACTGTTCGACCATTTGACCGGTAGCTATGACACACACTGACCATCAGGGGGTAGACACCCAATGCACAGGCATGGAAACATGGAATCTCAGAGGGAATCGGGGAGGGGGAAGAGATTAACCAAAGATTTTATATGCATACTAGAAGCCCAGTGCACAGATTCATGCACTGGTGGGGTCCCTCGGCCTGGCCTGCGGGGATCGGGCCAAATCCATGCACTAGGCCTCCAACATCTCCAGAGGGGTCCTGGATTGTGAGAGGGTACAGACCAGGCCAAGGGACCCCACCAGTGCACAAATACGTGCACCAGGCCTTTAGTGTTATTATAATTGGTGTCTGAGATGTACATCCTTTGGCTCAGAAAATCCACTTTTATGTTACACTCCAATCCAAAATCAAAGATGTGTTCCTACATTTATAGAAGCATTGTGGGTAATTATCAAAATGTGGAAACAATCTAAATAGCCAACAAAATAAATTCTTTCTATATATTCTGGTTCACAATGAAATAACAGTCAAGTGTCAGAATATTGTGGTGGAAGCATATTGACATTGGAGATGTAGAAGGTGTTTATGGTAGATTGTTGACTGGAAAAAAATGCCATTTGAATAGAGTGAAACTTATACACACACACACACACACACACACACACAACAAATATACACCAAAATGTTAAAGTTACTATTTCTGGATTGTTGGAAGACTACATTTTATTTTCTTCTTTATCATTTTATAAAATACAGTGGGGCCTTGACTTACGAGTTTAATTTGTTCCGAGACCGAGCTCGTTAAGGAGCTCGTTAAGGAGCTCGTTAACTCAAATTACTCTGTCAACTCAAAGCAAAAAATCGGCCGAGAGACAGCTGGTATCTCAAAAAACTCGTTAGTCGGGACACTCGTAAGTCAAGGCCCCACTGTATTAACATTTTAAAAAATTATGAGCATATATATACAACTTTAAGAAGATTGGGGGAAATTCTTTTTTTTAATATATTTTATTGATTTTTTTTAC